CTTAATTACTCACATTTTTAAATGTTATTTTCAAAGCTGATGCATTTGTCCCGTGTTGTGCTACATGATGGAGTTCAGGGGAAGCCCACAGCCCGAACCCTACCCAAAAACACAGCTGCCTGAACGGCTATTCAGTCAATTATGTAATATTAATAGTTATATTTCTGCTAGTATTAGTACAACTACTACTTCTAACAACAACAACTTGTGCCTTTTAATAACACAGATGTTATGCAGAGTAACACCATGAAGAACATCTCTGGAAAGACCAAAGGAGTCCAAAGTTAATACTGTGAGCCTGTTAGAACTTTGAATAAAATGTGCTTCATTTACAATATTCTGTCTTGTTTATTTGTTGCTGTTTGTTGCTGTTTTCCGTACACTGTAGTAAGTGTAACCCATATTACTAGACCAATACCTGTGATTTGAGGTGTTGTCAGTCCGTGCCTGCCTGCGTGATGTCACTTCCTGTCACGGAGAGACTAGAGAGCTGCAGCGTTGACCACAGACCGTAGAGAGACACCAGGCTAATGGCCGCAGACACACCCTGGATGTGACGAGAAACTTACTGTGGCTAACGAGGCGGGCCGAGGCGGATGAGAGACCCTGTGGATGTCATCAGGCTGTGACCCGAGGAGGATTCCCCGCGTTAGCTTGATCGTGAAACTCCGGTGAGTCCCGTGTTAAAACAAGGAGCTGTTTGCTAACTGTGATGGAGGGAAAAGTGATCAACCCCGGGCTCTGCTTCATAAAAACTTGCTCAGAAAGGACAAGTAAAACTCTTAGATGTGTTCCAACATTTTTCTGTTGTGTTACTGAACTAAAGTTTATGTTTTAAGCGCTTAAAAAAACCGCTAGCATTATGCTAATGCTACGCGCGACATGCTAACATGGTTAGCATCCTTTTAAGCTAACTTTATGACGTGTTTTGTGGCCCTTGTGACTGATTACTGCTTAACATAAAGCATTTAAAGCTGTGCTAATGTTATTTTGATTTAATGAAAGCACTTTGTGTACTAAAGTTAACTTTTATACGGTTATTGAAATGTGTGGTTAATTTTACATTTCATAATACTCTATTTGGTTAACAATTCATCTGGTTAATGTTAAAATGTTGAGTCAACAGTTAAAATGATTTGTATAAAAGTAAAGAAAGGATGCATAAATTATGTGTCTAAAAGAAATGCTGTTGCTTACAGTGATCCAGGATAATTCATTGCACTGTCAAATGGTTTATGATTTAACTGGTGTGTCATGTTTGGTTGTATGTTCCATGTTAAAATTTGAGAAGAGAATTTAATGAGGTCTCATGAAAGAAGTGTGAAAGAACTATATGATCTTATAGCCTTACACTTCTCGTGTAGGTTGGTTTTTTTGTTAGGATAGCCTGCACTATCCAAAGTTGTGGATGTGGATGGCGAGCCCAGCCCAGCGTACCTGAGGGTAGTGGAGTATGCGGTGTGGCCAGATCAGCCCAAAGGACCTTGGATCGACTCAGCATTCAGCTGAGACAGATGAGACACTAACTAGCTGCCCAGGTAGGAGAAGTAGAAGTGACAGAAATACTGGACACTGGTGGAAATGGTGTGTGCTCAGATGTGCACAGAACTGAACCCATTATTTTGGATTGAGCTCAAAGGACTGATTCTCTTTCCATTTTATTTGTCTTGTTTCTTTCATTTCATTTCACTCTGTGGCGCTTTATTCTGTTGTGTGGTACAGCATAGCAACATTTTCTCGGTTGTTGTGGCATTCAAGTGCTAACTGTTCTAAAACCAACACCCGCTCGAGTGTGAGTATATTTGGTGTGACCCCTATAGGACCTGGAGTGATGTGGACATCTCCTCCCTAGAATTAAGACAGAGGTGCTACACCAGACTGAGTTCAACAACCAGCTTATTGAAGCAGAGTTTGGAGCCAGATGATCAGAAGTCGCTTTACAGTCCATTAGTGCCTCATTTTCTGTTTATATAGTTTTTCATGGGCTGCAAGGTGGCGCAGTTGGTAGCACTGTTGCCTCGCAGCAAGAAGGTTGCCAGTTCGCGTCCCGGTGGGGGCACCGGAATCTTTCTGCGTGGAGTTTGCATGTTCTCCCCGTGCAGCGTGGGTTCTCTCCGGGTTCTCCGGCTTCCTCCCACAGTCCAAAAAATTGGTGATCTGTAGGTGTGAATGTGAGTGTGCTTGGTTGTCTGTCTCTAAGTGTAGCCCTGTGATAGACTGGTTACCTGTCCAGGGTGTCCCCTGCCTTCGCCCTGAGTCGGCTGGGATAGACTCCAGCCCCCCCCCCCCGCGACCCTAATGAGGATTAAGCGGTGTATAGAAAATGGATGGATAGTTTTTCATATCTATTGAAGGATCACAGTGAAAACACGATTGTAGCTCAGTGGCTCACACCAGCTGCCCTGACGTGTCCCCAGACCTGTGCAACAGGTGACGAGTTCAACGTCAGCAACAGGCTCAGGAATGGGAAACAGGCCAGGCTGGGATAAACCAGGATTATGCTTTAATATGTGGCACATTGAACAGGTACTTTCACACTGCTCCAACGTGTAGGAGCTCTAAACTGTAAGTGACATTAGATAAGGCTCAGGAGCACCTCACAGCTCTGAGTGGAAGAAGGAGGAGTCCGGCCTTCGTTTGCACTGTCGTTAATTTAAACATCAAAAGTTATTTTAAAAAGATATTTCACGCCAACAGAATTCCATTAAATTAAGCATTTAATTTGGACACCAACAGTAGTTTGGTTTTTAGTCTAGAAGAAAGTCCAAAGAAACCTTTAATAAGCTCTGCGGCCGTTTATTATTGTTATTATTGTTATTATCATTATTATTATTATTGTATTTTATGTACAGTTTGCACCAGTAAATCTAAAGAGCGTTTCATGTAAAGCTGTGTATCATCTGCATGGAGTTAGATCTGAACCTGATCCTAAACATGAGCGAGGCCCTTCTCTGCTTACATTTTCCTCGACTTGGTAAGTTTTCTTTCAGGAGATCATTTCATAGCATACTTTTAAAACATCTCCGTCTGTCCTCTCCTATTAAAGTGCTGAAACTGAGACGTTATCCCGCTCATCAGAGGCTTTGCATGGCAGCATCAGTGGAGTCAGATAATATCCTCAAGTGAGGCAGAGGGAAAAAAATACTCACACAAAAGAGAGAAGACCCTGCCAGCATATGGCAGCGTCTGAAATAAACTGAAGGAGGAGGAGGAGGGGTGCTGATGAAGATAGCTCATATTGCAATCTTCCACAGAGGTTTTGTTGACTGTTGTGCAGGAGAGAGCTCATCAGCGTGAAGGAGGGAAACGTGAATATGTGGAGGAGAAGGGGGCACTGCAGTGTATCTGCTCATTAGGCGGCCGACGCTGTAATTCAGCGAGCGAGCGGCTCTGCAATCAGGGGCCTATTCATTAGCATGGGGGGCCGCTTTCATCTGCAACCACTTGAGGCTGCCAATCACAGAGGCGGACGCATGACAGCGCGACAGAACGGGGCGGCTTCAGCGCTGGGGGATGCTCGTGCATGGAGACAGACAGGCCTAAACGCTGCCTTCCAGCGCTCTATGTGAGAGGGGAAGAAGACGTGGGTTCTACAGTGTAGTGCTGGCAGGTGGCCCAAACGCTGTCAGCCTGATAATCATCTCTGCTCTGCATGAAGACGCTTTTGTTCTAAGATTTCACGAGCAGCAGCGTCGCCTTCCTGAGCAGGTTTCCTCCTGGATTGAACTGATTGAAAGCGATTGATTAGAGGAAAGTTTCCTTTAAAGTTTTGGGGAGAACAAGAGCTCTGCGCGCACACAGACGTACAGCACACATGAAGACTGGAGCACATTCAGCTCAACAGCAGACAGTCCAGATGTTCCCACACACCTGATTCAAATGATCAGCTCATCATCAAGCTCTGCAGAAGCCTGATAACCATCCTGATCATTTGAATCAGGTGTGTTGGAAGAGGGACACATCTAAAACGTGCAGGATTGCGGCCTTGGAGGACCAGGACTGGACACCCCTGCTCTAAAGCAACCTGCTGTCCCTCAAACCTGTCAACGCAGAAACAACCTCCCCGTTCCAGGCTAACAGAACAGAGCCAGCTGAACCATGAAGCCTCCAGCGGGAGGATTTCAGAACCTTATTCACTGTCCTGCACAGATTCAGAGGAGAAGGTTGATGCCACTCTTGTGTCTTTCATAATTGGTCATGTGAAGCTATATCTGGCAGCTAGTTAGCTTAGCATAGCAGGAAGCTAGCAATGCTCCATCAGTGGGTGACAAAGACATCTTTGAAGCTAGTAGATAATTAATCCAGGCAGAAGGAGCTTTAAAGACTCCTGACTCACAGCTTTAACAGGCCTATAGCTATGATCTATGATCTATGTATAGAATATCTAGCAGAATAAATTAAAGTCATAAACAGTATCAAAACATTGGGATAACTGTTAGAAATATCAAGGAGAACATGCACCGAGTACGCTTTAGCAGCAAGCTGAGCACATTTTGTGTCACACAGCAAAGCTAATTCATGGCTGTCTGTTCATTTAGGAGACGCTGCATGTGAAGCTGAATAGAGCACCGGCGTGGCACATTGATCCGGTTCGTAAAGTCCAGATCTAACGATGTCCTTTAACCCAAACAATCCCATTCATGCTCCGTCACAGGGCCTAAGTGCTGCCAATCAATGCACCAGCTGTGGACAATCTGCCTTAAAGAGCTGCTGAGAGCCAACAAACCGCCGGATCGATGGCTGCGCTGAGAGCCGAAGCGTCCAGAACCGTTTTCACAGTGGGACTGATCACGTTTCCCGTTAACTACAGCATGTTAATTGGAGATGATTTGCAGGTTTGTCGCAGCATGTTGCTCTGAATAACAGGCTGCTGCAGGTCCTTGGCCCCAGACAGGCAGTACAAACAGAGTCGTGGACGCTCTGATCCACATTTTTCTGCTCCAGCATGCGAACAGGAAACCAGCCTGGTCCTCTGTTAGCCAAACACTGACATGTTCAGAACCGATCTGGGACGTTTTATTAAAACATAGCAGTATTTACAATGTACAGTCACTGAATTATTCCATCTCAAGACACAGTTAAAAGTGCTTTTTTTAAAAGTGAGTTTTGCTCTGAATAAATAAGAGATTCCATTTCCTGACAACAACACGAGAACAAACAACAGTAAAGCTGCAGACGTGCTCATCAGCAGAACAGAGTCAGAATCAGAGCGGTTCGGCTGTGATGCTGCTCCACACACTCCTCTGTTCTGTTGGTCCACAGCTCATGTTGGAGCGATTCAAACACCGACAGGGAAACAGGAAGGAAACGAGTCCTGACCTGATGCACCGTTTGTGTCCAGAGGAAAAGGAGAATAAAATGAAAGTGGTCTTCTTCTCCTGCATCACCAAAAAACAAGACAAAACAACAAAAGTAGCTCCTGTGTTGCTGGGAGGCATCAGCAGAATCCAGCGGATTGAAACCAGAAGTCCTGCTGCCACCCGAGGACTCCCAACCGGACCGGACCGCCGACAGGACGTCCCAGAGGGTTTATCAGCAGAGCGGTGACGAGCAGCGGGTCAGCGGCTGATGGGCAGCTGCGGTAGAGAGATGGACGGATGGGTCAGGTGGCCCGGGCCGGCCAGGACCGAGAAGGGATGGGCTGCAGAGGAGGACAGAACCGACATGAGTCTGGGAAGCAAAGGGAGGAAGACGGAGCTGCTGGTGGAGGACAGAAAGCCCGACCCAGTGAGGAGGAAAACAGAACTCATGGGTTTAAATTACACTTCAGAACTTTGACCTGCAAATCAAACATTCGTCTGAAAGAGCTTCACAGAGCGACCCAGGACCGAGACCCTCAGTCTGCATCGCAGCCGGTGATCTGCTCTGATGCAGGAAGCCAGCTCTCAGTGACAAACAGCACCAAGGTTCAGGTGTTGAACGGTAATGTGATGAACAAATGAACAAAGACGTGGTTTTAATGTGCTGCCAGCTGTCTGGATGTGGTGCTGGACCTGTTCAGGTTCCAGGATATTCCAGGACTTAAAGGTAACCTGCTGGACTCCAGCTCTGAGGACTTCTCTGGAGCTGCTTTGTGAGCAGGTGTTTCAGGGCGACCTGGCGGCTGAACGGCTCAGAGCAGAGCTCCAGGTAACCTGTGTGAGCAGCAGGTCACTGTGTTCAACAAGGTGGAGCTCTGCTTCCTTCTCTCTCAGCTGCTGACGTGCTTTTAGATGTAAAGTCTTAATCTGTAAAATAACTGTAAAATGCTGTTTAGTATAAAGTACGTTGTTTTCTGCACGTTGGATAGAGAAGTCCTCAGACTGGCTTCTGATGCAACGAATCAAACCTCTGAGTCTTCCTGGACATGCAAACAGCAGGAGGAGACAGTGGAGGTCAGTGTGTGCAGACAGATGTAGAAATGAGCTGAATGTGAGCCGACACTCACTGTCCAGGTATCCGTGCAGGGCCAGCAGGTGCGGCCGGTCCGGGCTGCCGAACGGCGAGTAGTGGATGTCGTCTGGCAGCGACGGCGGCATCCTGGACAGCGGGGCGCTCTGAGAGAAGCTGCTCTGAGGCGGCTGCTTTTTGTGCCGGGCGCGGCAGTTCTGAAACCAGACCTGGGAAACAGTACAGAGGATGTGAGCGTGCAGAGCGGGGCGGGTCGGTTCCCCTCAGCAGCAGCCACACGGTGCAGATCAGGGTCCGGGTCCGCTGTGGTTCCTCTCAGCAGAACCATGTGTTTATTAGCCTGTCTAAAGCTAATGATGGGAGGATTTCACCATCAGCTGGACGGCGTTTCCTCTCGCTGAAGCACAGAAACGGCTCCTCGTTTCCATTCTAGGTGCTCGTTAAGTGTTTAAAATGGATTTCTAACATGTGAGAGTCGCAGGATGTTTTACAGGGACAACGATGAACAACATGGAAATATTCCTCAAGATGTTGACACCAAAACTATGTATGTATATATACATATATATACATATATGTGTGTGTGTGTTTAAATCAGAGAACTAATCTACAGAAAGATGAAGCTCGACTTTAATGGATCACAGGCCGGACTAGAGGGAGCTGCTGGTCTAAATAAGCTGCTAACGATGGTTCCAGCCTCTCAGCTCATCTAAAGCTAACGGACTGGACGCTTCACCAGCTGTTGGTGTTTTCACCAAACCTTCTGATGCCCTAAAACAAAACGACCTGCAGGAGCCTGAAAAGGCGAATCAATCACAGAAAAGAAAGACTAAATGTAAGTATGTGGAGCTGAAACATGACGTTGATCTCGTGTTAATTACCTCCCTCCTCCTTCCATTAATGACACAACATCGTAAATGGCAGCGCGTGGTTTTTGGCGGCGGCCCACCTGTATGACTCGCCTGCTCAGTCCCGTCACCTCTGCCAGTTTCTGCAGCGTCTGAGCGTCGGGGTTGTTGTCCTGAGCGAACTGAGTCTGCATCACCTGTGAGGACACCGAGCCACACACACACACATATGAAACGCTGCATTGGAGCTGAACACACACACCTGAGAGCAGCACCTACCTGCAGCTGCTCGGCGGTGAACGATGTGCGCGCCCTCTTGGCCGGTTTGGGCTGGCAGTCCTGGTCCGAGGGCAGCGCTCCCTCCAGAGTCAGCCCAGTGCCTGCACAGAACCACACAGAACCACACACAGGCGTCAGGCTGTGGAACCACACAGCAGCTCAGAGGGAAAAGTAAAGGTCTGCATCACGAAGCTGAAGATTTGCACAAAAAAGCCGTGTCGCCTAATTAACGTGTTTTCTTGCCAACGACCGCAGTCCAAAGTGTTTAGATCATGATGGGCTGCCGGTCCTCCCTGAACTCAGCTCAGCGTGGACGCTGCACCGAGGCAGGCTGCTTTCATATCAGTATATATAAATGATAAACGCAGTGAAGGATGCCCTCCCTGGACCTCATCATGCTGGACCTCCAGCCTTCTGAATACTGCAGCAGGTTCATGGTTTCATCTCGTCTCTGTTCAAAGCCTCACAACTTTATTCTCACTCACACATTTAACCAACATTCAGTCTGAGCAGCTTGTGCTGAAAATAAGACACAAGCTGAGAGTTTTACATCTGATGTAGTAACTGCTAGCCATCAGCTCTCATCAGGGCGCCACAGAGCCGGACCGAGCCGGACCGAGCCCAGTCAGGGTCCATCTGGGACGACGTTTTGGAAAATGGGTGACTCAGGAACGAAGTGGAAACTTTAGGGGAATGTTTTGTTCCTTCTTGTTTCTGAGGCTCAGTTACCAAACGGGCAGAGCCCAGACTGCCCAGAAGCCCCTGAAGACCCTGAAGCCCCTGAAGACCCTGAAGACCCTGAAGACCCTGAAGACCCTGAAGCCCCTTCAGACCCTCTGCATCGTCTGGTTAACATGATTGAGAGTTTGCACCACGGAGGCAGAATATAAACTATGTTCTGCTCCCCGTCTTGTAGAGGAACCAGAAGTGTTCATGAGCCCTAAAGTGTTTTATTATTATTATTTTTAATTGCTTCTGTATTCTGTGGTTAAAGTAATGAGGACAAAGGAAGCCTGAGGTGTTCTGGGATTCAGCCACACATTTCTACCATCAGTAAGTCTGACACAGTTCACATCCATTCCTCCCAGTTCAGCTGCTCCTGAAGTATTTGCGTTAGTGAGCTGCAGCTTGTATCAGATAAACCCAACCCGACCTCCCCAGCAGCACCAGCGCTCGTCTCTGCAGCTCAGTGTTAATTATAATTAATAATGATCTTGAATTAACATCAGAATCAATCCGTCCATCTCCACACCATCACTCTCATTAGAACCACTCATGAGCTCATCACTGCAGAGATCCGTTAACATCTAGACACGGACGGATTCATGCAAAGCAGTCGATGGAAGCATTTCCACATTCCAGACAACCTCCTCCACACATGAAGAGACGACCACCGTCTGCATCGTTTGGTGAGATACGAGTAAAAATCTGACAATTTTGTAGTACGTACTATTGATTTTCCTGGATTTAAAGGCTAATAAAAAATAGAATAGAATAGAACTTTATTTATCCCAGGCCTGGGAAATCACTGTGAGACAGCAGCAGCAAAGAAAAAACACCAGTCACAACAGAAAAGGGCTGAAGTTAAATACTATTTAAAAAATAAAGTGAAATCAAAATAAAATTAAACAAATAAAATAACTGTACAAAATGTGCAAATTGAAAAACCAGTGCAAAGACTTCAGGGAGTTCACAGAGCAGAGGATGCTCTGCATGGTGCTGTACAGACGGCTACGGATGGAACACCTGGACGGTTAGATGGGTTAGATGAGCCCGGTTAGATGGGTTAGATGAGCCCTCATACCGACCATGATGTGAGTAAGATGATCCTGAACAGCCAAATAAGTGTTAAAAGGTGTTTTGCCTAATGAAGATGGAGGTGAATCCTCTCATGTCTTGTTGTGTCACAGCAACAGTCAGACACCCACAGATGCTGCATTAACCATCAGAACACGACAGAACCCAGAGGAAACGGTCCTGCAGGAGGTTTTTGTTTCTTCCATTCAAAGTGGTTGAAAGCTTCTCCTCACACGTCCTCTGACTGACTAACTAGCCCTGATCTCTGCTCTAACGGCACCGTGAGGCTCAAGTGACCCAGTAACCCGTCTCCCCCTCAGAGGGTCAAGGTTCTGACCCAGACTCCTCACAGCTCCTACCGTTCTCTGCAGCCCGCCGCAGGTTGTCCAGCATGATGTCGTAGTGGCTGCGGCAGAGCACCCTGCCCTCCACCAGGCCGAACTCCTCCCCGGTCGACAGCTGCCTCTTGCAGGAGAAGCAGGCGAAGCAGGCCAGGTGGTAAACGCTGCCTCGAGCCCGCCGCACCCAGTCGCTGGCGTACACCTGCCGGCCACACTGGGCGCACTTAGTGCCAAACCTACTGTGGGGGGAAGGACAGGAGCAGTGAAGGCCGGCTGCAGGTACAGAACCCTAACCCGGTCCTGACAGCACATCCAGACACCATCTCAACCCAGTGATGACGCATTTTAAATCAGGACAACAGCATGAAGAGCAGGAGTCTGCATCACACGTACAGAGGAGTGATTCTGGTGATTTAATCTGGACTCAGGAAGCTTCTCTTCATGGATAAAGTTCAGCAGCAGAACAACAATAATAATACACACTGTCTTATCAGGGCCCGTTTTAGTCCAGACAGCAGCTCTGGTCCACTGATTTCGTTGCAAATTTGCAGTGACGACAAAGAACTTGTTAAGTTTGGGCATAATTACACATCACAGGCTTTTAATGAAGGACAGATTAAATCCTGTTCAGCAGGTCTAACGTGTCCCATCGAGGCCTGGAAGCTAAAGAGCAGCAGCAGGAGGTTCTGATGTGGTGCCGACCGGCTCAGGCACATAAACTAGAACACAGTAAGAGTCCCTCTGTGAGAAAACGAACAGAACGCTCCTAAAAATCTTGTTTAAGTCGCTCATGTAGTGGAGCTAATTGTGCAGCTAATTTACAATCAATCAAATGAGCAGAACAAAGCTGCAGCTCATTGATTATTATTATTATTGTTATTGTTATTATTTATTATGATGATTATTATTGTTGTTGTTATTTATTATTATGTACTATTATTATTATTATTATTTATTATGATGATTATTATTTATTATGGTTATTATTTATTATTATTTGTTATTATTATCATTATTATGTATTATTATTGTTCTTGTTATTATCTTTATATTTAACGGATACATTCTGCTCCTTGTTCAGTTTAGTTTGTTGCTGACAGGAGGAGCTTTCAGCTCTTCAGTCTGTGTAGCGACAACAGAGGACATGATTCATTCACTGAAGGCCCGAACAGACGGAACCGGTCCGAGGATTCGTTTCAGGGTTTAGTTTGTGGTTCACACGTTTATTCTGCTTTGAAAACAGATTTTAAAGCAACGTTGAGACCAAAGATCGATCAGACATGAAATAAATCACATTCATCAGCAGCTGATCAGGTAATGGACCGACATCCACACATGGTTCCGGTGTTAATGTTTTTGCTCATTCCGTTAATTAAAAGCGAAATTAAATTTAAATCGGAAATATTTTTTTTTATATTTCAGCTTTCAAAATAAAATCTTGTAAGTTATAAAAAACAAAGAAGGACATTTAGGAGCACATTGATCTGCTTTAAATCATATGAAAACAAAGAGGATTAAAAGAATCCGTTCAAGGAGAAATCTCCATCAGTTCAGGAAACGCAGAAACATTTCACAGAAGCGCCTCGATGGTTTTTTATTTACTCTTTATTTCAAACAGCTGGTTTATCACCAGTTGAAGGTGCGGACGTGCTGGAGACGGTTTGGTTTGTCAGAAACAGTAAAACATCGTGACGGAGGGAGATTAATAAATACGCCTCCTGAACAAATAAAGGAGCGAGAATGTGGAATTAGTTCGTTTAATTTACCTAATTTACGGATTTTAAATTAATCACAATGTCCTGATTATTCTGTTCAGTAATTTCCCGGGCCTGGGATAAATAAAGTATTTTTCTATTCTATTCTATTTTCAGGCCTCCATAAAAAAAAGAAAACTAAACTCATTTATTTTAGTGCTGGATCCGGCCCAGCTCGTTTTACTTAGTTATTTTAAATAAATAATCGAGTTTCACATTTATTCACCTCTCTGCTGATATATTTATATTTATATTTATATTTATATTTATCTCGGGGCTTTGAAAAGAACAGAAGAGAGAAACCCAGTCGGTTCGGAAACACGCAGCTCTTACCTGAAGTAGTCCAGCTTGCAGTAGATCTCCTTGTTCTTGACGTAGCAGCTGCTGTGCTGGCGCAGAGACGCCCTGCACACGGAGCACTCCAGGCAGCCCAGGTGCCAGTTCAGGTTGTTGACCTGCCGACGGCACAACACACTGAACCAGCCAGAACCAGAACCAGAACCGACACACTGGGGCTCTGATTAGGACGCTCTGAAGAGAATTAACGACTCAGAAATAAAAACTAAATTTAACTCGTATTGATAAAAGATTCTTCTCAAAGAAAGAAGAATTCTTCTCTTCTTATTTAATCCAGAAGGAAAATAAAACCAGGAGCAAAAATGGAAAATGAAAAGACCAGCTGCAGTGCAAACGTGTTAAAGGCGGATGTCTTCTCCTCACCTTCAGCAGGTAGCGGTCGTGGATCTCCATGCCGCAGCTGGCGCACTGGTTCCTGGCCGCCGGCGGGGAGCAGAGGCAGGCGGCCTCGGACGGGCTGCACTCCCCGGACTCCTTCTTCACCTCCGCCTTAGACTGGAGCCAACACAGAGCACAGCGCAGCGTTACACCGGAATACCAAGCAGCTTCATCACCTCCTCAGTTTATTTCTAAAAGCAGATTTACTGAATCCACACCAACAGTCCGAACCAGAGCTGTAGCAACAACAGAACCAGAACCTGGAACAAACGCTTTTATTTCATTCAGAGTTAGCTGTAAATCCATCCAACATGTCACACAACGTGTATCTCAGCTTAAACTGTTGCCTTGTGGGAACTCCAGTCCGCAAATGAAAAGCGGACGAACGCAGTTTTGGCGTCTTTGCGCTGCATCTCTGACCCGCTCCACGTTCAGACCTCCGGCAGAATAACGGTACCGCCGGGCCAGAAAAAAAAAAAAAAGTAGACGGAGAGTGACTGACAAACAAAGAAATGAAAAGGGTGCAAACCCAGAACTCGCCCAGATGTTTGTGACTCACCATTTTGGGGTCTTGAACGCTGGAGACGGAGCTCGCTCTGCGCATTACGCATCTCTGCCCCAACCCACACTATATCCGGTCCAAAACAACGAATAACAGTTTCTCCTGCATTTAAACCCTGGCAACAAAAGACATTTTGATGCAATTAGAAGAGGGGGGTAAAAAAAAAAAGAAGAAGAAAAAAACTATATATAATCGATCAGGGCTCTTGTGCGCAATAGGAGGCTGAATCCAGCGCAATCAAACGCGCTGAAAAGAAAAGGATGGCACTATATCTGCAATTAGCGCCGGATTGAAATGCTTCGCTTGATAAGAGGCAACCCGAGTGTCAATTTCACGTGTCAATCAAAAGAAGGCAGCCGAGCCACCAAGCTAAGAGAGGAGGGAAAAGAAGCGGCGCATCCTAATTTCAATAGCTGTATAATCGAAAATCGAAAAATCTCCAAAGTGAAGAGGCTCAATTGGAGATCGGTCCATTCATAACAGACAATGTGCGCAAACTGCAGCTGATCTTGAGACATAAAGGAGCCTGATTGTCTCTTTCTCCTGATGGACCCATTTAAGTACTTGAGGCTCCCTGCGTGATTACAGCTGCATTCATAAAGTGCCAAAAAGTGCGCGTCTGGGTGGCAATGCGGCCTCCGTGTTGTCCTTCATTTATCGAAATTAACAGGAATGCAAGATTATGTTAATTACCAGCTACGGTATAAATATTGGAGGCAGCAGCAGGAGACGAGACGGCCCGAGAACATCAACTTCATGCAGAGGAAACCTCCGAGAAGCAGCGCACACATCGTCCACTTAAAGTTTCTCCAGAGCACCACAGGGGAAAATATCCGGATAGTTCCGTCCGAGCGTAAAGATGTAATAATCCATCAAGTGTTGTGGGACTTGGAGTGGAAACCAGTAGCTCCAGCGTCCCTCCCAGTACTGCTGCTCTCCCCGCCTCGGCCCGGAGTTTTACAGCCAGTTCGGGCAGACAGGATGTGATGCTGCGCTGGACCAGCAGCTTCACCTCCTCTGGCACGAAGGCATTCACGTTCACAGCATGAATTCACAAAAGAGAAAGAAGAGGAGTGAAGAGGCAGGAATGAGCTCCTCTGTGCTGGTCTGAGGCCGCCTCCTGATGAGCGCTGGCTGCTCTGAGAGCGGTGCACTGACAGACAACTCCTCTGTCTGAGATGTTTGCTCCTCATCCACGGGTTTCCTCCTGATGAGGCCAAAGCGCTGCTTCTGGCCTGAAACCTTTTCCAGCAGTTCACCTGAAACACAGGAGCTGGTCCTGCAGGTTCTGATCCAGTAAAGGAAATGAGGGTCCAGAAAGACTGTCCCTGCAGCAAGATGATTAGACTCAACCTTACCCCAGAGTTCAGGCAAAAGAAGCAGAACAAGATCAATGTGACACAGATGGAACATCCAGCACCGGTTCCGTTTGACACAAGTTCTGATGAGAACACGTTTTAATCAAGTGTTCAAAGGAAATGTGTTCCCTACAGAGCTCATTTAATGTTTTATCAACATTCATTCATGTTCCAGGGTAACAGAGGAGGAACACATTCAATAAACGTTCTCCAGGCGTTCTCCAGGCGTTCTCCAGGCCTCAGATGATTTTTATAAAAACGTTGCTGCTGTTCCAGACGGCAGAATATTCTGGCTGCAGTGTTCTGAGACTGTTCTTGAAAGAATAAAACATAAATAAAACATTCTCACAATGTTCCACCGTAACTAAAGGCAGAACCTAACATTCAAAAAATGTTCTCCAGATGTTATGGAGGCCTCAGAAGGCAGGACCGTTTTAATACAGAACCTTTTATAGCGTTCCTTTAACGTTATGTACTAAAAGGTGGAACATTATAGGAAACACGTCACAGAACGTTTTTCTATAAGAGGGTTCCACAGTGATCACAGAGGAAGGACGTTCTTAATACAACATTAAGAATAAAGATGTTATGGAGGCCTCAGAAGGCAGAACGTTCTTTATGAAGACGGTCCTGGACTGTGGAGCATTCTGCCTGCAGTGTTCTGAGGATGTTCTTGAGGAAACACATGATGGAACCCTGTCAGGAGTATCTGGGTTTCTCTGAACATTCAGCTGAGTTGAGGTCAGACGAAGGTGCAGCAGAGTCAGGGTCAGTCAGCTCTCTGTTCTTTGGTCTTCAAGTCAAAGCTTCCAGTGAGTTCTGGCTTCTCCTGAATCCTTCTGCACAAAGAAGCGAACAGAGGACAGAGCAGAGAGCTGCTGCTCCTCAGCCAGACGTCCAAATCCAGAGCAGCAAGACAACGACAACAATTCAGACAGACTCAGGCCATGAAGATGCAGTAGCTGGGAAATGAGCAACCAGCTGGTCGTCCCTCACAGCAGTCAGCTCTCCTTCCAGCTCTCCTCTGGATGACAGCAGCTAGCCGCTCCACTGGTCTGAGGAGATGAGAAGACGTGGCTCTGAGGTGTGTTGATGCAAAGTTTAGAGAGCATCGCACAAGCCTCTGTGTTGGTGTTTATCTTCATTTACTTACTCTGACTGTTAGCATTAGCTTCACATGTGGGATGAACCTTCACTTCATCTGCAGTCTGTGCCAGGGTCAGAGCAGGACTCTGAGGACATGATCATGGACATTAATTCTGAACAGTCCAGCTTCTCCACTGTTCTGTTTCTGATAAAGTACGTTCACCATCATCTAACACAGCCATGACACAGCTAACCAGCACAACCTGTAGTTATCGGTGCACACGGCTAACTGGCTGACGTTATGCTGAATGGTTTCCACCAGCGCCGGCCACATGTCCCTGCTGGTCGGGACTCAAACACCCGTAAAGCTGTGGTGGAGTTATGGCCTCTCTGATGATTGGTCCCAACGTTCTAAATTAATCCGAACAATCAGAACATTTAAAAAACAAACAACTCTTATATTGGCTGTTGTCTGACGTTTATGTTGAAGAACGAGCAAAACCCACATTTAAAGAAAAGGTTCCTCTCATGCATAAGCAGGTTTGTCTGGATCAGAACCACTGCTGAGGTAAGGTTCTTCCAGGACAAGGAGGACACGAACCTTTAGGGTGGTTTCATAATGACACAGCTGCAGTTAACGAAGTTGTTCATGATGATTTAACGAAGGTCTAGATGTGTTCCTGTTTGTTACAGGGCCCATGTTGTGCCTCTTCTCAGCAAATTGCTCAAAGTTTTACGCGTCCTCACGTCGTGTCTCAGCTGACGGTCCAGTCCAGCAGAACCACACATCTCTGGGTTTAGGGCTGCTCTGAGTAACTGCTAAACAAACACCAGCTGCTGCTCTGCCCCCTGCAGGACGAACACGGCGCTCCTGTTTAAATACGCCGAAATACAAAGAGAATGATTTTATATTACTGATGATATTCTGACAGGATTCATATTAATGTTACCTGTTGTTTGTATTGTTGTTGGTGGTTATTTGTGTGATTATGCTGATTTGTTGGGAGCTGGTCACATGGTACAGGGTGGTGGAGTTTATTTACCTGCTCACCTGTAGGCAGGTGGTGAAGGATGTCGTGTTGCTTGTTGACCACAAGCTTTGATCGCTGTGAGATTAGTTTTGTTATATTTCGCTATATGAAGTTGACCTTTTCCATTATTAAACCTTTGAATCATATTTTGGATCTCAGTGAATCTTTTGTGCAGCGTGTCGGACAAAGAGCTCGACCCGGCTCCGTCCTCTCAGCGCCGGGTCGTCTGTTCATTATGAAGCCGCTACACTCGTCAGTACTGAGTGGTGGTCGATTTAATTTGGCTTTTTTAACAAGAGTTTACAGAAAGACTCTTTCATGTCAAAGTGAAACCATCATTATACTGTGTTAGACACACAACCGCACAAGTGTTCATGTGACAGAAGCCTCACAGTGAAGTGGAGGTCACCAGAGGTCATCAGAGGTCACCGGAGGTCATCGGAGGTCATCGGAGGTCAGCCAATGTGCCTCAGTGACTGTAGCATAAAGACGCCTTCACCTGGATGGTTTGATCTCTGCTGGATCAGTACATGGTCGGTCCGGTCTCTGCTGGATCAGTCCGGTCTCTGCTGGATCAGTACCTGGTCGGTCCGGTCTCTGCTGGATCAGTACTTCAGGCTGTACCTACACCATGAAGACACTCCGAGCTACTCCGTGGTCATGTTATCTGACCTGGGTTCCTCCACAGGTAGCTGTCTGAGGTGAAGCACATCGATGTCTTTCCTGCATTTACGCTGCCGTCTAAGCTTCCTGTCTGGTGTTGGATGTGTCAGCAGGTCAGGATGTGTGGACGTAACCTGCACACGACTGGGTCGAGCTTTCAGGGTCGTGATCATAATGATGGTAAATAACCTTGTTGTAGTAGCAGAGAGGTTTTGACATATTCTGTTTTCATTTATTGGCTGAGTTTGTCCATAAAGAGTCAGCGTTACAGACATCAGTAGCATCACTGTGACTGGTGGACAGAACCTGTGACAGCACTAGTCAACACAATAGCTGCAGAAGTCCTAAACGTCATTATGAGTGGTCCATGAAGCTCCTCATGTGAGGCCTCCTGCTGGTACTGTCCCAGCAAAAGCTTTTGGTGTTTCTGGGGATGGAGTCAGGAAGCGTTTCATTCATCAGAGGCTTGTGTTGAGCTTCAGCCTCAGGGTGGCCATATGCGGTTATAATTTACTAGCTGGACTGGAAATGTGTTGCAGATATCCTTAAGTGACTTTGTCCTCGTCAGAAACAACATTTCAGTCGTCCTTCTTCGGACAAATGACGTCACCACGTCGCTGCAGATGTGAAGATGATGCTCCTCTCCCGCTGCCGGTGCTCACTCCCACAGAGGGTTTCACTCAGAACACCTCCAGAGAGGGAACAGAATGACCAGAAGTGAAGGTTTCCATGAAATCAATGACACTTTAATTCCTATTGATCACCTAAAAAGCCGAACGCCATTGTCTCAGCCTCTGGATTGTCAGCGTAATGCTCCTCGGCGGCGCTGTGCCTTCCCTGTAATCAGCAGATGGAGCAGGGTCAGCTGGAAGTGGACTGGTCAAGATGGAGGAGGACTCAAAGC